AGATGTATCGGTGACGCCAATCGGGACTGTTTTAACTGAGATGCATTGTATTCCGCTACCCTCCTATGTCAAGGGGGCAAACTATGGATGATGTGGGCTTATGACGATGAGGAAGACATGGAGGAGCCTGAAGTATCCTTCAACGCGATAACGGGGCTGACTAGCGGTCGAACTCTTCGAGTTTGGACAGACATACAGGGGACCCGCCTCATGGACCTTAGAAATGGAGTTCTTTCGGGAGGGATAATTGCGTAAGATTAGTGTATTTCAGCGCACCCCACCAAAAGAAGCTACCATTGAAAGTATCATTAAGGAAGACCACAACCTAATGGCGGTTTGCGTCCCTCCTGCCGTGCTCGACCCCTCCAGCGGGTACCTATTGACCTCCAAGCTCTCATTCTGCGTCCCTTCCGCCGAAGCCCGCCATTGCTCACAAGTTTCTATTGAAATAGGGGGCGTAGGCTGTCAACGTTCATCCCTACCACTATGCTCACTTCCAAAAAAATAGAGATCGAAACCCAAGTAAATCAAATGCTCGCGGCAGGTCTTATCCAATCATCGACCAACCCCTTCTCGTCCCCGATTCTGTTGGTCAAGAAGAAAGACGGAACATGGCACTTTTGTATGGATTATCGGGCCCTCAATCTCGTCACCGTCAAAGATTGCTTTCTAATTTCGACCGTTGAGGATATGCTGGACGAGTTGCACGGGGCAGCCTGTTGCACAAAGTTCGACCTTCGAGCTAGGTACCAACAAGTACGTATGAACGTCGCCGATATACCAAAGACCGCTCATAATTTCGTTTGGTCTCTACCATGCCCCGTCCACTTTTCAGTCTATTATGAACGAGATTCTCAGGCCACCACTCCGCAAATCAGTGCTCATTTTCTTTGATGATATACTTGTCTATAGTCCGGACAACGTGAGCCACCTAAACCACGTTCACCAGGTTTTTCAAATGCTCCACCAGCATCTATTCTTCATCATATTCAGCAAATGCACCTTCGACATGTGCGAGATTGAGTATTTGGGTCATTACTTCTCGGCAGAAGGAGTTAAGTTGGATGCACGTAAGATTGACTCCAGGGTGGACTGGCCGACTCCTACCTACAACACCGAACTTTTCAGATTTCTTGGTCTCAGGGGGTACTACCAAAGTTTGTGCGCGATTATGGATCCATTGCCCAGGAGCTCACCAATCTTCTCAAATACAGGCAGCTCGAATGGTTCGCGGCTGCGACTTCCGCCTTACAGGCGCTGAAACAAGCTATGACTTCCATGCCAGTGCTCGCCCTGTTCGACTTTGATCAAACATTCATCGTAGAGACCGGCGCCTCTGGTTCCGGCTTTGGGATCGTCTTGACGCAACGGGAAAAGCCCATTGCTTTCTTCAGCCGTGGCTTGGGGAAATCAAAGGAAAACCTCTTTATGTACATCAAGGAAATGTTGGACGTGGTCAAAACGGTTCGAGCTATCCGACCCTACCTTTTGGGCAGCAAATTCTTCATCTAGACTGATCAAAAGAGCATCACCCCGGAACAGCAGCAGTGGATATCGAAGTTATTGGGCAACGATTTTGAGATTGTCTACTAGCCGGGGCCCGAGCACAAGGCCGCAGATGCTTTTAGTCTTCGCCGCTAAGAGGAACTCGTGTTCTTAGCTATTTCTATGCCCTAACGTCTCTCTGGGAAGCAATCAAACACATAGCAGCAGTGCATCCCTATATGATGAAAGCACGCTGGCGAGCAACGTCCACCAACCTCGACCCTTTTTCCATCCGCAACGAAATGTTGCTTCATCGCGGCAAAATCGTGGTTCCCCCAAACTCCTTGCACATCGCCCAACTGCTGCACGAGTTTCACTACACCCCAATGGGAGGTCATTCGAGCGTGGAATGAACCAACAAATGTTTGGCGTTCCAATTCTACTAGCCGACGATTTTGGAAGATGTCCAACGTTTCATTCGCACATGCGATGTGTGCCAGCTCGCCAAGGCTCAATCCTTCACCCCGGAGGGCCTTTTTCAGCCGCTAACGATTGTCGTCGTTGATCGCCTCACTGAGGCGGTCCACTTCATTCCCCTATCGCACCCATACAGAGCATGCTTGATGGCCGATTCTTTTCTCTCCGGTGTAATCAAATTACATGGGCTGCCCCGATCGATCATCAGCGATAGCACCATCACCAACAACTTTTGGTGCATGCTCTTTTGCCTCTCTAAGACTCAGCGACAGATATCACCTTCGTACCACCCACAAACGAATGGCCAAACCAAGGTCTTCAATCGTTGTGTTGAATAGTACCTTAGTTGTTTCACCCATCAAAACCCCCGATGCTGGCATCGTTCCTTCCATGGGCCGAGTTTTAACACAACACTATGTTCCACAACTCCACTGGGATGACTCCATTCCAAGCGTTCTATGGGCGTCTTCCTCCATTGGTTTTGTACTACCATCCCGGCTCTACCTCCGTTCATGAAGTGGAACAAACACTTCTCGACCGCAACACCATTCTCTCCGATCTCCATGTCAATCTCTCTATTGCCAAGAATCAGATGAAACAGTATGCGGATGCTGGCCGCCGCGACGTGGATTTTCGCGTGGGTGACCCTGTTTACTTGAATCTTCGTCCATATCACCAACACTCAGTCTTCTACCGAGCTTCTCAAAAGCTGGCTTGTTGCTATTTTGGCCCGTAATTGATCGTTGAGCGCATTGGGGTCGTCGCCTATAGCATCGCTCTTCCTTCGGGCAGTCGGGTTCATCCGGTGTTTCATGCCTCCCTGCACCAGCCATGCCACTCCCCAGCTCCAACGCAGTCTACAGTTACTCCTCCTATCGGCGACGATGGAAATCTGCTCCTGCAGCCGCAGTCAATCCTGGATACCCACTAGACTAGCTGCGGCAACCGCTAGGTCGAAGAACTCTTGGTCAAGTGGCAACAGCTTCTCGCGGATGAGGCTACCTGGGAGCTTGCTTCAGTGTTCAACGACTGCTCCCTCCAGCTTGGCCTTGAGTACGACTCCGTTGTTCAACTGGGGGGTTTTATGAACCACGCGGCCCACAACGTTCAGCTCAAGCCCACCAGCCCAATCCACGATACCGGGCAGTAGTCCACGTAAGAAGGATCCGTTGTAGCTTGCCAATAGTTATAGGTTTTTATTTCATTATTATTATCTTTGAGTTTCAGAGTTGAACAAGTCCTGGGAGTCTGTTAGTTGTTAGCAGAATAATCACATTCCACATTAGGTGGGACATGGAGTTAGAGTCCTGCTAGGTTTGTAGGCATTTCTTGTTTCGGTTTGAATGCCTTATAGGAGAGTATGTGAATGGAATAAGGCAAGCAAAATTTGAACAAACAAAACACCTGGTATTTTCTCGCCAAGAAAGGAGAAATTGGCTCAATCTCGCCAAGAAAAGGGATCCATTTAATCATTCAATTTCGATCCTTATCAAAATCATGTTTGTTATTATAATTCCTATTGTTTTTCCGTTTTCCTGGCATGAACAAACATATATGTACCAACTCCAAATTCCTTTTTTCTAGCCCTTCAGCATGAATATAGAGCTTTCTAATTTTACAACGAGTATAAGTTTTCTGAGGCTGCTGAACATTAGAGTGGGGCGAAGTCAATTGCATCAGAATGACAAATATTAGGAGTTGCAGATGATTTTTGTGATTGTGAAAAGGGTGAAGGAGTCAAGAAGGTAGATTCATAATCAAAGGCAGGCCCTTTGGGCCTCGTCATGGGACATGGGTAAATTTCGGAGGAAAAAAAATATCTCATTTATATTTATATTGGTGGTGGAACACAACACCTATAGATGGTATGAGAGTATTTTATCACTACAACACACCTTATTACTTGTTTATAGATTGACATAAAATTAATTTATTATACTATAAACGAAATTCCAATTGAAATAAAGACATAATCGGATCTCTTTTATGCTTATGCATATTCGATTCTTCCCAAATAACCTTGAAATTGTCTAGCAGCAACGCAAGTCCACTAGTATTGGTTACAATGGAATGAAAAGTGATGGGTTGCATAGTTTTATACGGTTTGTGCATAACGATCACAAAATATGAACCGCGTGTCGCCTCTAGATATAGTATAAAGGACGACTCGTAGTCCTTGAATTAATAAAGCTTGTAATCAACCATGTAAAAAGAAAAGGGGATGATATATATTATCCCCATATAGGACCAACACAATAACGAAATCGATAATATGGGACAATAGTTTGTCCCTTGAAATAATGTTTAGAGTTCGACTTATTGTCGTTGAAGTTGTAGCTATAGGGATGGCATGGTGTCTTTCATGTAATTGGAACTAGACGACAACTCATGAGTATCAGCGATGAGTGTCGTTCCTAGTACTAGGGACGATTTAGATATTTTTTCATCTAAAAAAATAGAGAACACACATCTACGACACGAAACATAGAGGACGACATAGTCATTCCCAAAAACTATGTGGACGATTTTGCCTATTTTCAGGATGACTTTCTTCGTTCCCAAACCTATTCTATTTTGTAGTGATACGTACTTGGCTGTGTAATATAAATTCTTATTCATCCTATCGAGTAATTATATATTATATGGAACTTCAAAAGAAGTTAACTCGATCATTTTACATCCTCCCTCGTTTCATAACATATCCATCGATGGATTGAAGTAATCATATATACCTTCTTGTTGGGTGTTGAAGAAAAACTTGAAATATTTTTCTTTGTTGACTTGCTCGCTTTTGTTACGACTCATGTGGACTGGAGTAGTTTTGTTTGCTGTGCGTTGGAAAAGGTCAAAATAGGAAGGCGCTCATTTTACTCTTAACCAAGGGAAAATAGGGGAAGGAATTGTCAGAACATATAAAGAGTGGGCATCCAAAATAATCGGATCTCCAAAAAAATTGTAATCACACGATGACCCCGCAAATTCTTTTAAGCCATCCAAAGAGAAGCGGAAAAATACCCAAAAATTCTAAATAATCATTGGTCTTATTTTGCCTTTGACGAGAAAAAAAAGACTATTTTTTTTTTGTTTTCATTTTATTAATTTCGAGGAGTGGTATCTGAGGTAGTAAACATACTTAGCCAGCCAATTACCCCAAATATCATACAACCTCAAACATACATACCCATAACGCAATATAGTATATAATTTTTCACTTAGATTATTGTACAAAAGAGTTTGGAGGATAAAAGAGAAAGGAAAAAATACAACAGGAAGAAGAAAGAAAAAAGATGTCTTTCACTGGAACTCTTGATAAGTGCAAAGCCTGTGACAAGACTGTTTATGTTGTTGATCTCTTGTCTCTTGAAGGAGTGCCATATCACAAATCCTGCTTCAAATGCAGCCATTGCAAAGGCACTTTGCAGGTGATTTTGAATTTTCGTTTTTTTCCTTTATTATTTATTTATATTGGATTTATCTTTCCCCTCTTTTTTCCTTCTTCTCTTTTAAACTATAACTATAACAAGAATTCTTTTGCATGGGGCGTTATGTTTTGGTTAGATGAGCAATTACTCCTCTATGGATGGAGTGTTGTTCTGCAAGACTCATTTTGAGCAACTTTTCAAGGAGTCTGGAAATTTCAGCAAGAATTTTCAAAGTGGTAAGAGAGAGAGTACTCCTCCTGTCATTTTCATTATCCATTATTTGTTATCTTCTATGGGAACAAAATTTTCTGACACTATGTGTTTTATATTTTCCTTGTAATATAGCTAGCAAATCTGAGAAGCAGAGTGACCTGGTACACCACACATCCTCCTCCTATTTACCACTTTACTAATTAATTACTACATGCTCAATTAGTTTGTTTTAGAGGTTTCTGGGTTGCCTTTCAAGGAGACCCAGACACATCCCATGTCCAATTAGTTTTTTCTCCAATTCAATTAGTTTCATGGACTGCGAGTATTTGAGTTTTTTATTTTGTAAACAAATGAATTTATTGAATATGTTGCCATCCAAGTTTCACTACGTTGATGCATTCCAATGCAACTAACCTAAAATCGATGTTTGAGAATGTTGAATTCAACAAACATTTATGTGATAATGATCAAGCCCCGATAAAATCTATCTGATTGAAGGGTCTTTCAATAAAAAATGGAGATACTTTTTTATTACACATGTGAGCAAGAGTTATTTTTAACTTGACTAATTTACCACAAATTTGCTACTGTAATTAACAGTTAAGGACGCCCAGCAAACTGTCTTCTATGTTCTCTGGAACTTTGGACAAATGCTCGGCCTGTACCAAAACTGTTTACCCACTTGAGAAGGTTTGTCTATCTTTCTTACTACTCCATAGACTCTCTTTCCCTGAACCCTTACACATATATTCCATTGATGAGTCCATATCTTTGTCCCCTTAAGGTGACAATGGAAGCTGAGTGTTACCACAAGACATGTTTTAGGTGTGCCATAGGAGGTTGCCACTTGACACACTCATCATATGCTGCCCTTGATGGTGTCCTCTATTGCAAGCACCATTTTGCTCAGCTGTTCCTAGAGAAGGGAAACTACAACCATATCCTCCAAGCTGCTTCTCACAAGAGATCTGCCTCTACTCCCCCACCGGAGGCTGTTGAGGGCGAAGCAGAGGAGGCCACCGCCGGAGATGGAACAACTAATCAAGAAGGAGAAGACAATAATGGCAAATGAGGAACAAACCATTAGATTTTATACTATACCCGCCCACCCACCCACACATAAATATATTTATAGTACCACATTAAAATACAAAAACATAATATGGACAAATCACTTATATACACTCATGGTTCCTAAACTCTATACTCAGATCTTATGAAGAGTTCTTTGAGGTTCCACTCTTTATATTACCGGTTGTTGGCTTCATTCATCATCACCTTGACCAGCAATCCACTCACCCATCAAATTCATTATCCTTCAAAATATATTTGTTTTCTTCTTCTACTATTTTTCTTCTTTTTAATTTTTTCATTGTTCATTTTTTATGGTTTGGGTTGCTTTCCCAATTTCCACAATTCAAATGTCCTTCACAATTTTGTGCAATGTACCAAAATCTTATGTTGCCTATGCTCATATATTTTCACTTTTCGGTTCTGGAAAAGGTTGTCAAGCATATGTGCTGGATGTGATTACTATTTTTACTTGTGTTGGTTTGGCAATGATTGCTAGTATATTAGCAAAAGGTAACGAAATGGTTTCTTATTTCTCTTATTTCACAAACCAAGATTCAAGATCGAATTCTACATAAAAATTCCATTTATAACAAATTTATTATGGAAGTTTGGTTCGATAAACTAGTTAGTAGTGACTGGAAAATTCTTAACTCCAATGTTGGTTGGACGCAGAAGCTCCAACTTGTCACATTTCATTTTACTATTAGTGAGTTCAACTTTTTTTTTTATATTTTAATTCTTAAATTTATTTAGCATAATTAAGAACATTAAATATTAACTAAAAGGAAGGTGAATCCACCAATAACATACTGACCTGTGGCAGGTTGAAGCTTCTACATCTAACCAAGGTTGGAACTAAGAATTTCCATAGTGACCTAATGGTCAAGATGCCAAAATCTAGGCTTTATGAGTTATAGAACACGACATTGATGGCTTTAACGACAGACAATAGGTACAATTTATAAGCATAAAATTTTTTAGGTTCTATAGATGCTTTTCTAAGTCAATATGATTGCATATTTAATTGAAGTATCTTGCATGTATTGATAGCTTAGATTTGTTTTGTGATTGGGTGAGATTGGAAATTAAAATATCATCACAATCGAACACCAATCGATTGAACTACCCCGGCTTCTCAAGAGAAAAATGCGTAGGACCCATTGAAGCCTATTAGATCTAATAATTGTTAGACATATGATAGGATGAAATTGCATCGCATAATCGTTAGACATAAATATGATCTAATTGGAAAACCACTTGAAGTATAATGAAATAGTAAATCCTTAGAACTCCACATCTCTAGAACCAAATTATAATTCTCACAAAATAACCATAAAATATCTTCTTTTAAAAACATGGAATTTTGAAATAGAAAATGAAGCATACAATAATTTTTCATAAATAGGAACTCGAGATCTTTAGAATTCATCGGCTACCAATATTCATCATTTGGACGAGGAGAATAAAATTTATACGGTCAATGATTAATTGTGGGAAATAAGATGTTATATTTTCCTACTATTTTGTAGGTGTAGATGGCAGAGACAATATGTGCAGCGATGAATGATGTGAGAGAGGAAAAGTTGCTATTGAAGGAAGACTGACAATTATGTTGACATATTAGAAGGATTAAAGGGTCGGGTTTTGGACGATCAGAAATGAGAGGAGAGTGTTTAGTGATTCCATGACTGTTTCTTTTCTTTATTCAATTTCTATTTAGTTGTGATTGTGGTCTCCTTGTCTTTGATCTTGTCATCTTCTTTCACAAAAATCTCCATCTTCTCTTTAGATGCATCATGAAAATCATATTCTTCATATTTATGTAGTCCTATTACTTTTTCCTATAGCTTCTCGAATCTGGTGGCTTGCGGATTGGAGACACCTTCTCATTGCCCCTTGTATTGAGGTTGATTGCCAAATCCAGGTAGACCTGAATTATTTTGCCAATGTGATTCATGAATATAGGGTGCTTTGGGAGAGGTGATGTTGGGATAGTCCTCGGGCTTCTTACTACTAGAGCAGGCCATTGACCATACGCTATGCGAGGTTGGTTGAATCTTTGGTAAGGAGGGTAGCTTCCTTGTCGAGGTCTCAATCGATAAACTTAATTTGTATAATAGACATCAAAATGCCCTTGTCCTATTTGGCTATGGTAGTTGAATCTTCCATGGCCTTCTTCTCCACATGCTTCACAAATGAGAAAGGATGCAACTGGTCCATCCTTTGGCTCTATTGAAGTCATTCTTAGTTGTTGGGTCAGCTCTTTTATGTATGTACAGTGGGCGAAGACATCATCCTCCCTTCCTTGAGCATATTTCAATGGTTTAATCGTTGATGGACACTTTGACCAGTTTTATGTATGGATAGTGCGGCAAAATTCTCTTAACAATGCATTTCCATCATTGTTGTGAAATCTCCATCGGCCGACTAGTTTACCATCATTGTGGTTTCTTGATCAAGGCATTTGGCAAAGTACTTTGCAATTTTCTCCAATGTGAATCCATGGTGGGGGCATGCCTTGATATACTCTTGGAATCTCCTCCAAACATAGTAGAAAGTTTGAGCCTTCCTCCTATTGAAATCGAGTAATCTCATCTTTAAGCTCTATCATCTACCATGGTAATAATTACTTCTCGATGAATTCTTGTGCTAGGGTCTCCCATATGGTGAAGATGCCGTGAGGATGGTAGTCAAGCCACTGCTTTGCTCCTCCTCCAAGCAAAAACGGTTAAAGTCGTAGTCCAATTCCATCTTTGGTAGCATCATTTCCTTGTATCGAATTGATGATCTCTAAGAAAGTCTTCAAATGGTGCACCAGATGATCATCATTCCTTCCTCCAAATCTCGCTGCTTGTTGCAATATCTGGATAAGTTGAGTTCTTATTTCTATGGTTATTGGTGGCACAACAATGCTTGAGGTGATGTTGGATGCTCTTGGTCTTGAATACTTATAGAGAGTAGGTGGAATCGCCACTTGTCTTTGTCATTCTTCTCCAGCCATCATTCGTGTTGAAGAAGTTGAAGATGCTCCTTCTTCCTTCGAATCGAAGTTGTCTTTGTCAATCTTTCCCTCTGATCGATTTCAGCAGTGCATGTTTTGGTTTTCAAAGTCAAGAAGGAACAACTCAGGTAATGATTCCCCCTAGCCTGCAGTTAAGTCGAGTTGTAATTCACCCAGTTCAATTCAATTTAGATTTATACTACGGAAGATCCGAACCTAGCTTGGAATCTCTTAAGCTGAACAGGCCCTCTCAGACACGTTACCTGGTTTACGACTAACCTTCATCGAGATAAAGTGCTAAGGTAATAAAAACATATCTCATTTACTTGAATTAATCCAAGTACAGAGCAATAAATCAATTGACTCTCGCATAATCGATTCACCACTTCCAAATCAAGATGCTCTATTGACCTATTCAGGTTCTATCATTCTAGGTCAAAGCTGGAAACATACAAGTGTAATCAAGAATCATAGATTTCTGAATAAAGCTTTAATTGGATATATAATCATCCATGTACTAAAAAGGGTTCATACAACTGCTCCTAACATGCAAAACTAGGGTTTGCATACCCAAGTGGTAGAAGAGATTACTCCATAGAGAGAGGAAAGCCATGTTGGATGTAGAAATCATCGTGTAGACGGAATAAATCTGCTCCAGGTCGTCAATCGTCACTCCTCGAGGCTTGAATCGAGCTCCAATGATAGGAATCTTGATCTAGGGCATTCAAGGCTCGTTTTTCGTCACTTTCTCTCTCTAAACTTCTATTTTCTGCTCCAAAACACCAATCCCCTTCCTTTGGCTCGAATCTGCCTATTTACCTCGATACTGGGCGAAATGCGGGCAAGAGCACGGTCATGCTTCCTCTCTGACCATGGATTGACCAAACTACGCGTTTTGCTTAAGTTGGAAAAGAGAAATCCACGGTTGCGTCTAGGGAAAACAGCGGAAGTATTTTGAAAAGTACTGGTGGCAATTAGTAAAGCACAATCGTGCTTTAGTCGTCACCTGCCCGTAATTGGATTTCCTTCAGCATTCTTTTGGGGCCAACCTCGTCTTTAAAAATATGAGAGAGTCATTGGTGAAACACGATCATGTTTTAGGAAGGATTGCCCGTAATTCAAATCTAAACCATCACCACGCTCGGAAAAATAAACACCAACAGCCATCAAGTGAAACACGATCGTGCATCAGGCAGGGGACGATGGTATTTTCTCTCCAAACGACCCGAAACTTGTGCCTAAATAGCATAACCTAGCATAAAATAGGCCAAGGGACCATAAATTTGAGCCATAACGGTTAAGAAACAAGGATGCAAACATGTGCAAATACGATGCTATTAAATTCCATCACACTTAACCGTTTGCTTGTTCCCAAGCAAACCAAGTCAGACACAAGGTAAGCTCAAAATGTTTTAACCATGCAAACTTTGGGGACATATATATGCACAAAACACGTGAATCGTACTGGCTTTTAGACATCAACACATGAACAACAGCAACAACAACCTAGACAACCACCACATATGACAATCGAGTGCAACGAAATAGGGTAGAGGAAGAGTCTCCCTATGATTCACCGATCAACATAGACTGGACTCAACCACTCATTCAAAATAGTAACATCATGCATCAAATTCAAGACATCAGAATCAAGACCGAGCAATCTAGGTCGTCACCGAGGTATGTAGTATGAAAATTGAATCACTCACTCTCAACTAGTGGGGCCAGGAAAAATTTTATGCAAGATGTATGCATACTCGTACTCTCAATCCCTAACGTCTCTTCACCATGACGGTAGCCTGAAAATGCTAGAGTTCACAGATCGAATGTCACCACTAACTTGTCCGGAGGTCTTAGACACGAGTTCAGATGATTCGCTAGGGTCTTGCACATGGGGAAAATGCCTTTTAGGTGGTGGAAGAATTCATTTCACAAGGTTCCATATTTCCAAAATTAACATAGCCTCATTCATTAAAACCCTTTACCTTTTCTTTGATATTCTGCATTAATCAAGTTCTTTAGAGCAGAAGAGTTAAGGAGGTTACAACATGCTAGTATCTCCAAGCCAGTCTGCTCAGAAACACTATCTAATGAGCATGATTAAGATTTTTGTGGTGGCCCTCTTTTGCTTTCATTTGTTTTTTATTCTCGAGAGAGCCACCACTTTTACACATTATTTTATCCTTACAAGCACATGCCCAACTTTTAAGAACTACCTCCAACCGTCATCTTATTACCAGCAAAAAAAAAATGCACAAACCACTCTGTGGAAGCTCAAAGAGATGCAAAAG